CGCCGGCAGCCACAGTCACTGCACGGCCCCTGCCCACACGCAGCTCAGGGAGGCACACGCTCAGCGCTGTGGCTTCCGGGTCTGGATGCGCGTGACGTCCTGCGCTGCCACACCAGCGCCGGGCAGTGTCTCCTGCCCTCCCCTGCGCCGCAGCCCCACGCCGGGCGGAGTTGCCGGTCCTGCCTGTCTGCGTGTCCCTTCTGCACCTGTCTCAGTTTTTGCGTCAGCAGCCGTGACGTTTCAGCAGCCTTAGGCTCACGACAGCTGCGTGAGCAGAGTCTGCCGCCCCCGGCCGCAGGGCTTCCGCAGGGCACCTGGCACTGGCGCTTTTAGACGCCTCCGTTACCGCCGGCAGCCACAGTCACTGCACGGCCCCTGCCCACACGCAGCTCACGGGAGGCACACGCTCAGCGCTGTGCGTTCTCGGGTCTGGATGCGCGTGACGTCCTGCGCTGCCACACCAGCGCCGGGCAGTGTCTCTGCCCCAGAGCCCGGCCCCGTGTCCCGCACTGTCCCCTGGGTTCGCCCTCTGGACCGGCCGCCTCCTGCCCGGCGGTGACACCCCTCTGCCGCGCAGGGCAACCTGGGCGACCTGGGCCGGCTGCTCATGCAGGGCTCCTTCAGTGTGTGGACTGACCACAAGCGCGGCCACACCAAGGTGAAGGAGCTGGCGCGCTTCAAGCCCATGCAGCGGCACCTCTTCCTGCACGAGAAGGCCGTGCTCTTCTGCAAGCGGCGCGAGGAGAGCGGCGAGGGCTACGAGAAGGCCCCGTCCTACAGCTACAAGCAGTCGCTTAACGTGAGTGGGCCTCACGCTAGGCTCGGCTCATGCGGACAAGCCTCCGTCTGGGCCGGCACTGACGCTGGGCTCCCACCTGGGCGGGGGTGTGGGCCCGCCCCAGAAACGCCCCGTCCCCCGGGCGTGCTCACCCCGCGCCCGCCCCAGAAACGCCCCGTGCCCCGGGCGTGCTCACCCCGTGCCCGCCCGCAGATGACAGCCGTCGGCATCACGGAGAACGTGAAGGGGGACGCCAAGAAGTTCGAGATCTGGTACAACTCGAGGGAGGAGGTCTACATCGTCCAGGTGGGCCTCGCCCTCGCCTCGCCTCGCCCCGTGCCGGGCTCCCGGGTCAGGCTTCTGATGGCAGCTGGTGTCCGGAATCTTCCATGTGCATCCGTCACCCAGAGGCCAGGAGCGGCCGCTATTTGTTCGGGGCGCCGCCCTGGGCTGTCCCTCATGTGAGCTGGCCCAGCCTGTGAGACACGGAGAGGGGCTCAGATTTGAGGGGCAGAGGGACCCCAGGAGAGGGCTGGGGTGTGTCCAGCACGTGGGGCCTTCCTGCACCGAGACGGGAGAGTGGGCGCCAGCTGCAGCTCGAGCTCCTAGCACAGTCACCGCACCTTGGCGGTCTAGCGTCTGCTCCCGGACTGCAGAGTCACTGTTGTCCTTGTCACCTAAGACAATGTCCAGTTGAAGCCACTTCCCAGAGAGGGCAGGTTGTGCCCTAGTTTCACCAGCGAGTCGAGCGTGGGCCACTGTGCAGTGTCACTTGCCGGTGGTCTGTCACGGGCTGGTGCCGTGGGGCCCAGAGTCCTGCCCCCAGGGCGGGCCCTGGCTCACACGCAGCCACCAGGCGCCAGTCCCCGAGAGTGTCCTTGGCCATCTCGAGAGGGAGACGCCAAAGCGTGTCTCGTCAGCCCCGGCACTCACCTCCCGGTGTCTCTCTCGGGGACAGGCGCCAACACCAGAGATCAAAGCGGCCTGGGTGGGCGAGATCCGGAAGGTGCTGACCAGCCAGCTGCAGGCCTGCCGAGGTGAGGGCCTCTGCGCCGCGCCTGCTCCGCCCAAGCGCAGAGCGGCCACCAACCCCTTGTCACTCGAGGGGGCGCCGGGCTAGCTAGGGGGGCGCGGTCCCCACGCAGCGGTGCGAGCTGTCTGTGTCCCTCCCCCGCAGATGCCAGCCAGCACCGGGCGCTGGAGCAGTCACAGAGCCTGCCCCTGCCGGCCGCGCCCGGCTCCAGGTGAGCAGCGCCACGCGAGCCACGAAGGGGTTTAGAGCGTGCCGGGTCCCCCGGCCTCTGCCGCCGGAGTCTCCCGGGCATGGGGTGAGGTTTGCGCAAGGCCACAGTGGGCCGGGCATCTGGGAACGACGCCCGTCCCAGGGTCGGCCTCAAAGGCCTCGACCCTCCGGCCTTCCTCTGTCTGTGGACTGCGTCCCGCATGGGCAGCACCTGCCGTGGGCTCTTCCCCAGGGGCCGGTGACGCCGGCATGTCCCTCACGGCGGCCTTGGCCACGGCTTCACTGTCTTTCCTACACTCGTCTTCCTTTATCTTACTCATTAACTTGGATTTTTGGGGGTTTTTTTCCTGAGACGGAGTCTCACTCTGTTGCCCAGGCTAGAGTGAGTGCCGTGGTGTCAGCCTAGCTCACAGCAACCTCAAACTCCTGGGCTCAAGCGATCCTCCTGCCTCAGCCTCCCGAGTAGCTGGGACTACAGGCATGCACCACCATGCCCTGCTAATTTTTCTATGTATTTTTACTTGTCTAGCTAATTTCTTTCTATTTTTAGTAGAAACAGGGGTGGGGGGCTCTCGCTCTTGCTCAGGCTAGTCTCGAACTCCTGAGCTCAAACGATCCTCCCACCTCGGCCTCCCCGAGTGCTAGGATTACAGGCGGGAGCCACCGCGCCTGGCTTATTTTTCTTTTGTATCTTACTTATTTACCTGTTTTTTTCACTTATTTTTTCCTGTTTCTTATATAAGCTGCCTTTAGTCATTCGTGGAACAGGAAGTTGCCTGAATAAATAATCCACAGAACAGCAGTTTAAAAAGAGAAACACTCACTCCCAAGAAAGCCCCCAAAGCCCCTACCTTACAGCTAGCCAGGCGGCTTCCGTTCTCGCCAACTCTACCAGGCAGGAATAGATGCTTGCGGCAGCCTCCGGAGCCATGAGGACACTGCCAGCACCGGCCGGGCTTGGTGACGTCTGGGCGACCAGAGAACCGTGACAAACTAACCAGGAACATGCTTTCTTTTCTTTCTTGCTTTGTGGACGTCATCAGCCCCTCAAGAGGGACCGCAAGAAACATCAAAAAGCTGGAAGAGAGGAAAACAGACCCGCTGAGCCCGGACGGCTACGTCAGTGCCGCGCCGCCGCCGCCAAAGGCCCCGGAGAAGGGCAGAGGTGGGTGTCCGCCGGGCCGCAAGCAGCCCCCGCGGCCGCCCAGTGCCCAGGAAACCGCAGCTTCCCACGGCTCAGCCGCGCAAAGGGGCTGGTCCCACGTCCCACCCCCACAGGCACGTGGCTCCCGGTTCAGCCCAGAATGCGCCCAGCCGGGACCCCGCGTGTGACCCGTGCGTGACCCCCCAGCTCTCCTTCCCGCCTCTCGCTGTGTCCCGGGCCTGCACGTGTCTCTCTCTTCCTTCCCAGACGACGCAGTCACTAGCTCTACCTCAGAAAGCTCCGCGCTTTCCAGAAAGCGCTTCACCCTGCAGGGCTTTGCTAGCATCAAAGGGCAGAAAGGTAACGGAGGCCCCGCCTGCCGGGCGCCCCTCCCGCGGTGGCATGTCTGTCCTGCATGGCATGGCGGCCATCCCCCGCCGTCCCGCGAGGAGCCCTGCCTCCTTCCCCACCGCCACCTCACTGGCGCCGTGCGTGCCGCTGCACGGACCTCGGAGTTGTGCTTTGGGGGTGCCTTTTCCTTGGAAGGGAAGGCGAGTTCTCAGGTGGGGGCCGGCCCAGCTCCCCGCCTCTCCGTGGTCTCTTCCCGCCTTTCCCTCCGGGCTCCCCACGGAGCAAACGGGGCTGATCCCTGGGGACTGAGATCGCCCACGGCCGGCGCCTTCGGGGCCTCTCGGGGTGAAGCACGCGGGAAAGAGTCCCGCTGCGAAGCCCCAGAGCTGGGATGCTGGCTGGTCATTTGGTGGCCACACACCAGTCCAGACATTTGGGGCTGTTTTCCAATTTGTGAAATATTTGTTAGGTGGCCTCGCTCTTGAAAGAAAGAAAGAAACTGCATATTCTGGTACAAGTTTGCCAAAAGTCCCTAAAATGACGCTCTCAGCTGATGCCCCTCCTGGGCCTCTCCCTCCAGGCCTGGCGTGGCTGCCATGCCCACCTGTCCCAGCATGAGCCGGTGCCCCGTGCCCCCCACCCGTCCCATGCGTCCTCACGCTCTGTCTCCTCTTCTTTCTGCCTCTTCCTCCTCCCGCAGCGTCTCCCACCAGCCCCGACAAGAAAGCCAAGCGGCACCAAGTAAAGAGCGACCCGACTCCCTTTGGAGTGCGAGGTAGAGCGCGTGAGGCGCCCCGGTCTCGCTGCCCCCCATCCAGCCAGGGCGCTGACCGGTCAGCCGCCACAGCCACCAGGACGAGGCCCGAGGGGTCTTCTGGGCTGGGAGCAAGTGGCACCTTTGCTCAGCAGCCAGTGCTGGGGGGACGGGCCGCGAGGGCGGCTCAGCGCTAGGCAGCCCCGCCCCGGCCACCACGCTGCCCTCGCACTGGCTGGGCTGCTCCCTGGCGGCTGGGCAGGGCTCACTGCTAAGAGGTTGGGGGGTCGGCTGCCGCCCCCAACAGGCCCCGTCACAGAGCCTCAGCACCAGCCCCTCCCGTGTGCCCAGTCTGCGCTGACGCTTGTTGGGGGATACACAGGATGCCGCAGCTGTGGGGCGGCGAGCCTCCTTCCAGGCGGGTGGCAGGTGCGCAGGCGGGTGGGGCCACTCTGTGCTGGCAGGTGGTGGCCTCGTCCCTGCCTTCCCTGCCTTGAGGACAAACGCTCTCCCGGGAAACCTGCGGGCCGCCCACCCGGGTCTCCAGTGCAGGGAGAGGGTTTCGTGTTCTGAATCTTTCTGCGTTTTCCAAGCTTTGGAAAGGCCCCCAGGGATGTGGGCAGAGCCAGCGAGCCCACCACACCCAGGGACCCCCACACTGGCAGGGCTCCTGGGTGTGCCCAGAGGCCTCCAGCCCTGGCATGGCCCACAGGCGCTTGGAGGAGAGGAGCCAGCTCTTGTGAGCGGCCTCCTGGGAGTGTCTGTTTTTGCTGTCACCCTTGTGCCTGCGACCCGGGGCATGCAGAGCCGTCCCCGCCGCCTTCCCCATGGGGGACATTGGCAGGGCTTCTGGAGAAGGCTGGGCCTGGCTGGGGCGGGCACATGTGGCTCCAGCCAGGCTCAGCCTCTCAGGCTTGCGGTTGGTGTCTGGGAAGGGAGGCAGCGCTGCTTCGCAGGGCCGAGAGGAAGATGGTGCAGGGTCAAAGCCATCTGCCTCCTGACATTTCCATTGGTGGCGGGTGCCCAGGAGACTCAGGTCCTGCCTCCCGAAGGCCCGACCAGCCAGTGAATGCCGCAGACTATTTTACAGAAATGAGGGTGGCTCTATGATTGGCTACCCTTGTGAGACCCTTGTGCCAAGTCCCCCAGCACCCAGTTGACAGGGACCTGCCTGGCCTGTGGTCACTGGGCTCCACGAGCTTCTGTCTCCTGCCCACGGCTGGCGCCCGGAGCACGGCTGCCCCACCCGTCCCGCTGTATGAGGCAGGGCCCCGGGCAGGCAGGGAGCGGTGGGTCCAGACCCCCTTCCTGTCTCTGCGGTGCCCGCGGGCAGGGCAGCTCGAGGTCCCTGACAGCCACAGCAGCCTCTCTTGAATCAGGGGTGGCCCCTGAGTCTGTCGCCGCCTCGGCGCAGCCACCCGCGCAGCCGTGCTCTGCTCCGCGCCCTCGCTGTGGTGCTGCTGGGCCAGAGCTCGATTGCAGGCTTCATAGTACTGGGGACGGGGAGGACACTTCCAGCAGGTGTCGGCCGGCGTCTGAGCCACCCACCCCGGGCCGCTGCCCCTGTGCCCAGGCAGGGATGGTGGGGCTGTGGCAGCTGGAAACTCGGGTCCCCAGGTCTCGCACGGATGCCAGCCTGGCTACTGCCGGTCCTCTCCCACGCCTGGGGTCGCCCGGTTCCTGAGCTGTGCGACGGCGGCCCCTCCCCAGCCCGAGCCCACGGCCAGGCGCCTCAGCGGAGGCTTCGCAGGCAGGCGGGCACACAGGCGCTTGCGCACGCATCCCGTCCACAGCCCTCGCTCGCCCTGCACCGGCTCTGGCAGGAAAGTGCCGCTACCTCGGCACCAGGAAGAATTCGGAGCTGGCTGAGCCTGACTGGCAGCCGCCTGTCTCCCCGCGCTGCTCTCCGCAGAGCGTCCTCAGTGCCAGGCGCTGCCCGTGGCCTGGCCCCACAGGTGCAGCTGGGTGTCTGCCCTGCGCCACGGCGCGTCCCCTCTCCGTCCCTGCGTGGGGTCAGTGCTGCCCCTGGGGCGCCAGCTGGAGGGACTCGCACGTCCTGGAGTCCAGGGAGTGGCTTTTCCCCCCAACCTGCTGACCGGCCCAGACTCGGGCTCTCTGTGCCTCGGTTTGCCCAATGCGCAGTGAGGACCACGGTCCTCCTGCTCTCACAGGTCAAGGGCGTCAGGCCCCCTCAGTGAGCTTCAGGCATTTTTATTGGAAACCGTTCCTGCGGGTCGCATAGATGTGGAAGGTCACAGGCTAACGAAAAGCGCCTTTCCCTGGAGGAAAGAGCAGAGCCTACCCTGAGGTCGCGCACGGGGAGGGCCTGGGGCGCATGTTCCGCGCAGGCGCACTCACTACTCTTGCGCGCCGGACGTTCCAGACGCCTGCAGCCGCAGTGCTCTGTACACACGAGGGGGGAGGGGGCGCACACCCCACTCTGCGGGGGCCGGGCCGCGCCCGCCTGGAGACTCGCACAGACCCGCGCACAGCCAGCCTCACCGGCGCCTGTTCCCTCTCAGGTTGGAACAAGACGTCGCACTCGCCGGAGGCCCCCGGGGACGACGCGGACTGGTCGAGCGCGGAGGAGCCGGTCAACTCGTCCGACGCGGAGGAGGATGGCGGTGACCCGCCCAAGAAGCTGGTAACTCACCCTCGGTATCCGGGGGGAGGGGGAGGTCCAGCAGGGGCACCCTGGCCGGGTCCTGGGGCTGCAGGTACCCCCGACATCCCCACGTCAGAGACGCTTTGTTTCCTGGATTGAGTCCCCTGTCCCCAGGGCTCCCTGCGGCTCGGTCCCCGCCACCCTCTCCGCGGTACACGCGGGTGCAGCCCCAGCCCCAGACAGTCACAGCCCCGCCGCCCTCCAGCCGCGGGAAGTCCACACCGAGCTTCCCCAAAGCTGTGCACACACCTGGGGCTTACCTGTAGAACATTGGACAGTGCTAGGCATGGACTTGCGTTGTAGACCACACCCTATTTCTATTAGAAGCAGACAAGCTGTTTGCGTCTTAAGCCGTTAGAGTCGGGTGGCACCAAGGTGTTTACAGCCCACTCTGTGCTGGGCCCGACCGGCACCCGCCGACCGGCACGTCCGGGAGGCAGGGCCAGCGGGCGCAGGGAGGACTCGGGCCTGGGGAGGAAGGGTCTTGCTGGGGGGAGGGGCAGGAGCCAGCGCCGATCGCCCCTCCCCACTGCCAGGGCAGCTTCCGTCTCGGGCTCCACGGCCCAGGACAGAACCTCCAGCACCGGGGTCTGGGCCCGGCCCGGTTCTGGGCACCGCGGATGAAGCGGGGACAGGACACATGGGACAGAGGAGCCTGGGGAGATTAGCTAGACAGGTGGCCTGGTGGGCAGGGACAGCTGCCGGGGGACGGGCGGGAGGAGGGAAGGCGCTGGGTGGGGGGTGCTGTGACGTGCGGCGAGCATCCCCGGAGACCTTTCCAGGGTCGGGCAGAGTCTCGCCAGCGTTCCCGAGGCACTTGCTGTCCCCTCTGGGTGCCAAGCAGTCTGAAGTCCCCTACGTCCTTGCCTATGCCGTGGGGACAGCGGAGGGCGCCACCTGCAGGCAGGTGCTGATGCCGGCGCCTGCGTCCCTTTCCTGCCCCAGGTCCCGGGCAGACGCACGGTCGTGGTGGGCCACGTGGAGGCCGGCCCCGGCGTCCTGGCTGTGAGGAGTGGTGACGTGGTCGAGCTGGTCCGGGAGGGCCAGGAGGGCCTGTGGTAAGACGCCGCCCGCTCCCGCGCCAGCCGTGGCCACGCTGTGCGTGGCGGCCGGGCTGACCCCCCACCTTGCAGGTTCGCACGGGACCCCGGCTCAGGCAAGGAGGGCTGGGTGCCGGCCAGCAGCCTGTCCCCCCACCTGGGCAAGTCCAGCTCGGCGCAGTGCCTGAGCAGCTCAGGTAAGCCGGCTCTGCGCCCGCGGCGCCCAGGCCGTGTGAGCCGAGGGTCCTGTGCTCAAGGAAAGAGCCAACGCGGCGTCTCCGCCTGGTTTCCCCGCAGAGTCCAGCCCGGGGTCGGCGGTGCTCAGCCACTCGTCCAGCTGCAGCGAGAGCGGCCAGGCCCCCTTCACGGAGCTCCAGGGCTAGGCCACGTCGCGGGCGCCGTGCGGGAGAGCGGACCGCTTTCTTTGGCTTGGGCTTGCGCAGCTTGGCGAGGGGACGGTGCTCTGGGATACCCTGAAAGGGAGGCCCCAACTGCCCTGCAGGAGAGCCACGGGGAGACCCTCGTCCGCGGAAGCCTCCTCGGAAATCCTGGTGCGGACAGAGGCCCCTGAGCCGCCTTGCTGGCAGGAGGCGCCGCCCCGGCCCGGCTCCTCATCTCTGGGCGGGAGCCGCTGGCGGAAGGGGAAGGTCAGACCCAGCGCCGCTTCCAAGAGGAGTGAACGGCTCCAACCAACAGCCCGAGGGCAGAGGGGACTCTTTTGTCTTTTACAAATTGTAGGATTTTTTTAAAGCAGGGATTAATCCCATGGCCATTTTTCATGGTACTTTGGCCTTGAATCTTTACCAAGAATCACTGTGTTTACATGAGATGACAATTTGATACTGTATTTGATATAAAACTATTTTTTGTTATTGGGGTTTACATCAAAGCATGGGGTTCATACCGCTAAATGATTTTGGGGTCTGTCACGGAACTGGATGGAGCCCTGAGCTCACCTGGCCACAGGTGAGTGAAATCACACCCTGTTTGACGTCCGGCGGTGCATCCCTGGCCGGAGGAGGTGGAAACCAAGGAGATCCCTTCACTTGTGTAGGTTTCATTTTCAAAAGAAAATTCAAACTATAATTTAAGGTAGTAAATTCTTTTCTACGAAGAGTGGGGGAATAATTTGATTTTTTTAAAGAGCTTCACTGAGTTAGAATATTTTTTATCATTTTTAAAGAAAATACAAAGATGCCGCTTCTGCAGGGCATCACCTGGACCGGCCCAGCCCCGCCTGGCAGTACCTCGTTTCCGCCGGAACACACCCGCCCCCGCGCAAGGGCAGCCCCGCCCCACTCTGCGTCACACTCAGCACAGAAGTGCGAGGGCACGTTAGCTGTGCCCGGATCATGGCGCAAAGCAAAGAACGCGCTTCTGTCTGACCCTTGCTGTTGTTTCAGAAACAAACTGTTCTTTCGAAACAGGCTCCTGTGTCTGGCCAGACAGGTGTGTGTGTATGTGTGTGTGTGTCTGTGTATACATACGTGTCTGGAGGCAAAGGCATGTTCACGTGTCCATGCTGCTGTGCTATGTCCTCCTGCCACGCGGGCCGGCCTGGCCGAGCTCCCACCAGGTTTCCAGGTGCGTCGCCTGCCCCGCCCCGTGGCACACAGAGCTGGCGCCGGACGGGCCTCTGGACTTTGGGAATAAAATAGGAAACCTGGAGACTTGGCAGCTTTTCCTCTGGTGAGTGAGCTATCTGGGAGATGACGTGTGATGCGATCCGTGTTCTCGGTAGTTCTCACACAGCCCCTCGTCTCCACAGGGCCGCCCGCTCTGCTGTGTGATCTCGTCGTCATGACGGCACTTTAACCCCCTTGTTTCACTCACTGTCACTGTTTTGTGTTTTTTTTTTGTTTTTTTACTGCTGATGTAAATGAAGTTTAATGGTCAGATTCTCTATTGTGCGGATGACGTCTGAATAAATGTGAGCCGCTCCCGTGTCCGCCTCCATCTGTGAAGGGCCCCGAATGTCGCCGCGGTGCCACGCGAGGGCCGTGAGTGCCATGCGCTTGCCTGAGGAGGGCAAGAATAGAAAGAAATTTCATTGGCCAACTAATATATATAGAAAAAAAATTAGCCAGGCGTGGTGGCGCATGCCTGTAGTCCCAGCTACTCGGGAGGCTGAGGCAGGAGGATCCCTTGAGCCCAGGAGATTGAGGTTGCTGTGAGCTAGGCTGACGCCATGGCACTCACTCTAGTCTAGGCAACAAAGTGGGACTGTCAAAAAAAAAAAAAAAAAGACAGTTAAAGTGGGATTTGGAATTTAAAACCATGTTTCTGCCTCGCGGGCCAGAGAGGGAAGGTCTGGGGCTCAGCTCCCCTCAGAACACACCGAGCACAGCCGGCGTCTGGTTTCACGAGACGAGATGCATGAGTTGACCACTTAAAGGAGCTAGAACATAAGACCAGTATAACTTAAAGAAAGTATAAAAAGGAGTTAGTACAACTGAGAGAAGGAAATAACAAAGGCAAAACAAATCAAAATCAAAATGGTTCTCTGAAAACTCTAAAGAAGTTGGCCAATTTATAGAAAACCTGAGAAAGTTCACAACACATACAATTTCAAATGACAGAACGATTATGAATCACTTTCTGTCAAGACATTTGAAAATACACAAAATAGAAATTGTCTTTTTTAAAAAATCAAATTGGTCATATTTGTCAAAAAGGATAAACTACTTCGGCTGATGAATAACAAAGAAATTGAATTGCAGTTAAAAAAACCAAAAAAATTAGCTAGGTATGGTGATGCATGCCTGTAGTCCCAACTACCTGGGAAGCTGAGGCAGGAGGATTGCTTGAGCCCAGGAGTTTGAGGTTGCCGTGAGCTAGGCTGACTCCACAGCACTCTAGCCCCGGCAACAGAGTGAGACTGTCTCAAAAAAAAAAAAAAAAAGAATTCACCCCCAAACACATACTAGACCCAGACGTTTTATAAGCATATCAAAATATTTACACAGCTGTTTTTTTTTTTTTTTTTTTTTTTGAGGCAGAGTCTCGCTTTGTGCACAGGCTAGAGGTGAGTGCGTGGCATCAGCCTAGCTCACAGCACCTCAAACTCCTGGCTCAAGCAATCCTGCGCTCAGCCTCCCAGAGTAGCTGGGACTACAGGCATGCGCCACCACGCCGGCTACTTTTATATTTATATATATTAGTTGGCCAATTAATTTCCTATTTATAGTAGAGACGGGGTCTTGGCTTCTTGGCTCAGGCTGGTTTCGAACTCTTGACCTCGAGCAATCCGCCCGCCTCGGCCTCCCAGAGTGCTAGGATTACAGGCTTGAGCCACCGCGCCCGGCCTACACAGCTGTTTGATATTCAAAGACCATCAAAAGAGGGAAACCAACTCAACAAACATACCAAGCAAGTTTCAACTTGGTGCCCAAACTTGACAAAGATGATGTGAGAAAAAATAAAATTATGCAGGTGAATGCAAAAGTTCCAAATAAACATATAATCAAATAAAACCCAACTGTATGATATAAATAAAAGTAACACTTTCTAATCAAGTAGTTCTGTCCCAGGAAGGCAAAGACGGCCCAATATCGGAACCTGTTGCTGTTAACTTGCCGTGTTAAGGAACCAAAGTGGATCACCAGCCTGCCATGTGCAGGAAAGATAATCCACCTTCCTTCAACATTCGCTTGTCATGTTTAGCAACTAGGAGTAGATGGAAATTTCTTCAGCCAAACAAAGTGTACCATACAAAATCTTTACAACAGAAATGTTAGTTATTGGAACACTTGAGAACCATCCCCAATGAAGGCAAGATGAAACAGAGATGCCCACCACTGCCCACAGTTACTTATGGGAAATACTAGTGATCACAACAAAGGAAAAGGAACTGGGGTGTATTAACTGAAAATAACTTCATATCTAGAAAATCCAGGAGAACTCACAAATAGTGGAACTAATGTGAGTCCATAAGAGCAACCCACAAAAAGCCATTCATATTCCCAGCAATAACAGATTGAAAAATACTGTTTTTAACGTCAACCAAACAGTAAAATACTTATGTGGCAAAATTTCTGGACAAAATTTTGCAACATCATGGGTCATAAAAGAAGGCCTAAATAAATGGGGAAATGTCTATGGACGGGACGATTCCATGTCTCAAAATGTCACTTCTCCCCCACGTTAATCTGCACATTTTTAATGTAACTCTATCGCAGTCCCAGCAGAGTTCTTTGTGGAATTAGGAAGTTGACTGTAATATCCGTGGAAGAAAAATGCCCTGCGTGTAGCCAGGGCGGTTCTGGGCGGGGGCCGGGGTGGGGGAGGAGGGGGCGGCCCCCTTGTCAAAGTTGGTCACAGAGCCCTGGGGGGGGGCCTGCCCCGTGGCGGGCGGAGCTGACAGAGCAGAAGACCCCGTGGTTACCGCAACCCCTATGTCCTGGGTGGGCAAGGGCACGGAGTGGCCCCTTCAGCAAATGTCCACACCGTTGGGACCACTGGCTTTCCAGTGAGTAACAAAATACAATTACATCACTCCCTACACTTAAAAAATTAGGGTTATCCTATCAAAAAGTGGGCAAAGGACATGAACAAATTTTTCAAAAGAAGACAGAATAATGGCCAACAAACAAATGAAAAAATGCTCGACATCTCTAATCATCAGGGAAATGCAAATCAAATCAAAAAGTCCCCAAATAATAAATGTTGGTGTGGATGCGGAGAGAGAGGAACACTCCTACACTGCTGGTGGGACTGCAAACTAGTTCAAACTCTGTGGAAAGCAATATGGAGATACCTTAAAGCGATAGAAGTAGATCTACCATTTGATCCAGCTGTCCCACTACTGGGAATCTACCCAAAAGATCAAAAGTCACTTTACAAAAAAGACACCTGCACTCGAATGTTTATAGCAGCACAATTCACAATTGCAAAGTTGTGGAAACAACCCAAGTGCCCATCAATTCATGAGTGGTTTAATAAAAAAGTGGTATATGTATACCATGGAGTACTACTCAGCTTTAAGAAACAATGGTGATATAGCACCTCTTGTATTTTCCTGGATAGAGCTGGAACCCATACTCTAGGTGAAGCATCCCAAGAATGGGAAAACAAGCACCACATGTGCTCACCAGCAAATTGGTATTAACGGATCAACTCCTCAGTGGACATATAGGAATAACATTTATTGGGTGTCCGGCAGGTGGGAGGGGGGCGGAGGGGATGGGAATATACAAACATAATGAGAGAGATGTGCAACATTTGGGGGATGGTCATGCTTGAAGCTCTGACTTGAGGGGGGAGGGGGTTTATGGCCAATATACATAACCTTAACATTTATACCCCAATAATATGCTGAAAAAAAATAAAATAAAAATTAGGGTTATTAGAAGAAAACAATATCCTTGTCGCCTTAGGGCAAGGATGGATTTCTTTTACTTTTTTATTTTGGTTTTTTTGAGACAGAGTCTCACTCTGTTGCCTGGGCTAGAGTGCCGTGGTGTCAGCCTCGCTCACAGCAACCTCCAACTCCTGGGCTCAAGCGATCCTCCTGCCTCAGCCTCCCGAGTAGCTGGGACTACAGGCATGCACCACCATGCCCGGCTAATTTTTTCTGTATATTTTTAGCTGTCCAAGTAATTTATTTCTATTTTTAGTAGAGACAGGGGTCTCACTCTTGCTCAGGCTAGTCTCGAACTCCGAGTTCAAACGATCTGCCTGCCTCAGCCTCCAGAGTGCTAAAGGATGGATTTCTTACCAAAGACAGGAAAGGTTAGCTCCCAACGGCGGACAAAAAGACGGATAAATCCAAGCACATCTCAGGATGAAGTCCCGGCCCCGTGGGGAAGGTGCAAAGACACACAGGGGCCCAGAGGAGATACTGAGTCACACTCAGCGTCACAACCTTTCACCCCCCAAAGCGACCAGCGAAGGTTGCTGTGTCCCTGGCACTGGAAGTCAGCCCATGGGTGGCTCAGCGAGGCAGATGGACAGGTGCGAGGACCGGCAGAGGCCACCACAGGCAGAGGCAGTGACCGTCCCCTTCCCTGGGGTCAGGGCGGAAGGTGCCTGGGCCCGTCCAAGGGGGCTTGGGTGAGGGGAGCCTGCTGGCCTCCCTGAGGAAGGCGGAGGGTGGGGCGGCGGCCCCGACGCCCGCCCCGCTGTGTGGGCAGGGCCAGCTCCAGGCGCAGTGCTGAGTGCCCATGGGACAGACGTGGACAAGCCCAAGCAGGTAGGGCCCCTTTAGGGGAGTGGGGCCTAGGTGGAGCTGTCACACCTGTGTCCTCGCAGACCCTGTGCTGGGACTCTGGCCTCGGCTGCTGGCCGGCCGGAGGGACAGGCAGAGAACTGGCTTCTGCCATTGCTGCCACCCTCGGGGACAGGAGCCACATGCAGGGGAGATGCAGCCCCCAGCCCGTGGGACTCGGGGGCTTGGCATGTGTTTCCTGAAGTCCCCAGGTTTTCTGCTGCCCGGGAGGGGGTGAGGACCTCTGACGTGGAGCCTTACAGAGGAAGGACACCCCAAAACCAGCCAGGCCTCCACCCTCGAGTGGGGGGGTTACCACGACGCCCCCTCACCCTGTGGCTGTGCTGGCAGAGGGGACCACCCTGGAGCTGGACACGTCCCGGACCAGGCAGCCACTCTAAGCTGTTTGTGTTTGGTTTTTGCTGGGTACACTTGTAGACACACTTGAAAGTCTGGAAAAACCTCAAGAGTCGCGAGGTCTCTCTGGGACAGGTGTTGTCAAAAGGCAGGCAGGGGCTTCAGCGGCACTTGTAGGAGGGAAAACACTTCTTGGGGGGCCCCCACCAAGCGCCCCCATGGATGCCCCGAAAGATGGAGGGGTTGCTCCTTCCCTCACTGCAGCTGCCAAAGGGGCGGGTCGGCCGGTCCAGGTGAGGCCTGGCTCCTGCGGGAACTGCCAGCAGCGTCCCTGTCCCATACTGGGCACTTACCCCGGAGGGCCCAGCCCAGGAGGCGTGGCGCCCAGTGGGTGAGCCCAGCGTTCTGGTTCTAGCACAGAAAGTCCCTCGTCCTGGGAAACCCTGGGCGGTGGGTCAGTCACCCTCGCCATGGCTGGGCCCAGGAGCCCGTGGGACGGGGACAGGCCAGGCTGCCCTCCTGACGTCCAGTTTCTCACCTGGACTTTAAGTCATCCCCACTCGGGGTCTGTGTCCGGGTTCTGGACCGAGACTGTGCTGGCGTCCCCGCAGGGACCCAGAGAGCCGCGGGTCCCCGTGGTGCTCGGCTCTCCCGCCTGGAGCTTGGAGGCAGCACCAAGCGCACAGCCCCCTCTGGTGTTTGGGACGCTGTCCCTCCCCTCCCCCTCGCCCTTTGCCCGCCAGCCCTGCTGGAATGTCAACAGGCCGCTGAGACCTCGCCATGGCCCGAGGGCTGCTCTGCGCTCTGCTCGGGCTCCAGGGCTGTCTGGCTGCAGGTACGCCCGCCCGGGAACTCCCTGTACGCCGGGGCGGGAGGGCGGCCGGGATCCCACCAGCCAGGCCGGGGCCTCCCCAGACCTGCCTGTTCCGGGCACCCCTGCCAGGAGCGTTTTCGGGTGGTCCAGCCTGAGCTGAGCCTGAGCTGAGGAGGCCCCTTCCTCCTGGCATCTAGGCGGCCGGCAAAAGAACTTTCTGGAGCGGGTGGTGCTTTCCGGGCTTGTGCGAGGACCGGCTGGTGGCTCCGGGCTCAGGGCCAGCGTGTTGGGAACGGGAAGTGGATGGGGGCTGCAGGCTGGGTCACCAGCGCTCTGTCACCAGCCGCCAACCCTGCTGCGCACAGGGGGTGCCGAGGCCTCGGGGGAGAGAGCCTGGGCAGGCGCTGTGTGTGCGGGGAGCCCTCTCGGACGGGGCTCTGTGGTTGCCCCTGTCCCTGTCCACCCAGTTGACTGCCTGGGAATGTGGACACGTGGAAATGTGATGTAGAGACAGACGTGGCCCTCTCGGCCCCACGGCCCAGCGCACCTCCCTCCTCGCTCCCTGCCCTCCAGTTCAGCAGCTGCCTGCGCCCTTCTAGCCCTGTGCGCTCCCCGCCCTCCTGCTGCCAGGGCCCCGCGGGTGGGTCCAGCCTCGAGTGGGCGGCATCCTCCAGCAAGGCCCCAGCTCCTCCTCCTTGGACGGCCTCCTCCGCCTCCCCAGTGCCCACCTGGCACCCTGTCACTCTCGTCCTCGCTGCACCCGTGGCGTCCCCTCCCTCCAGCTGGTCCTACCCTCCCACCCGCCTTCTCCACACCCCTCTTGCCCCGGGAGGGCTCAGCGGGCTTCCCACTGAATTTCACTTCTGCATAACTTTAACAACATAAACATCCTGGTCTCCACTCCACCCCTGGTCTCCACTCCACCCTCCACACAGTCCCATGGCTATCAGGGGGCCCAAAGAATGACAGTGGCGCTACCCTGGGTGTCCTCGGGTGAATCTGAAGCCCCCCACGACCTTGTGTTTCTCATAAGCAAAGCGCGGGCCCCATCGCTGCAAGCGGTGGCCAGGCTGCCGTGAGCGGCTGGGAGGGCGCTGGGGAGGTCCCCACTCAGGGGCCGGGGGAGAGCGGCGAGTCTTGAGCTAATGGGGCCATGCGGCACAGGTGGGCAGCCAGGACTGCCAAGAACTTGCGTGCAGGGACGAGGACGCGTGGGTGCCGTGGGGCCTGGGGGCAGGGCAGGGGCCGTGCTGCCCACCAGGAACCCAGGGAGGGGCAGGGCTGGCCGCCAGGGACGTGGCAGCGTCACAGATGAGGGATTAGGGTTCCACACGGGGCTGTGACGTGCCAAGGCAATACCTCCGTATTGCTCACAAGCACCTGCTGTGTGCCCAGAAGGGACAGTGCAGCAGATACTGTGGCCTCACCTTCGTCTCCACGGGCTGGGCCACACCACAGTTGCCGGCAGCCTGGGAGCTGCCAGTGGTGGCTTCTGACCAGCACGGTGTTGTCAGTGGCTCCTCCTGGCCGAGGGTCTGCACGCGCCTCCGACGTGCCCTTAGAATAAATCCCTGGAAGTGACGTGGCCAGGTGGAACAGGACGCGAGTGTTAGACTGCAGTCTGCAGAGCACACTGCCACGTGCCACGCCGAGGGCTGTGCCACGCCGCCCGTCCCCACCTGCCCACGGAGAGCACCGAATTCAGCCAGTCTGCGGGCGCCCCGCCTCTCTGTGGCCCTCGGCCCCCGGCAGGCGGGAGCCCTCTGAGGCCACCACTGAGCCGGGGGAGCCCAGGCCTCCAGCGTCCCGGCACGGCGGGTCACGCGTGTTCCGTGGGGTTTGCTTCCCAGTCTTCATCACCCAGGAGGAGGCCCACGGCGTCCTGCGCCGGCAGAGGAGAGCCAACGCGTTCTGGGAGGAGCTGCGGCCCGGCTCCCTGGAGCGCGAGTGCAAGGAGGAGCAGTGCTCCTTCGAGGAGGCCCGCGAGATCTTCCGGGACATGGAGCGGACGGTGAGTCCACCTGCGGGGCCCGCGCCGCCCACGTGCCCCCGTGCGCACGGCTGCAGGGAGGGACCAGGCGGTGTCTGGGGTCCCGCCAGGGGTCCCTGTCTCTCCTGCTTAGAGGACAGGCTGGTCGCCCCTCCCCCAGGATGACTTCACTCCCCTGGGCGACGCCCCTCCCCCGCCCCGTTCCAGGGACGTCATCCACCAGCCACGCCGGTTTTGTGTGTGCCTCGACTTCCCCAGGAAGGCCCCCGAGTCCCTGAGGGTGCAGGGCAGCCCCAGTGGCGCAGCGGCAGGGTGGCACAGACGTGGGGGGAGCCCCCGTGGTCCCCCGCCCCACCGAGGACGTGGGCCTGTGCATGGGGCTGTTTTCACTTCTGGCTTCAAGTTCCGAATTTCTGCATTTGGGCATCTTTGACATGTTCCTTTGCCTCAAAACATTTCCCTTTGAATGTTTTCACCAGAAGAGTGGGCCAGGGTGTGACAGGGACACAGACCTGGGGGCGGGAGGTTCCAGCGGCTCGTCACGGGTCATCTCTGGAACTGCCGCCGAGCCAGGTCAGAGCCGCTGGGACAAGCTGCAGCCGTCCCCTCCAACCCGGGCTCCTTGTCCACGCTGGTCCCGAGCGTTTCTACCGCCAACCTGGACTCATGTCACCTTTCACACCCTCAGACACCTCACTCCCACACAGGACACCTCACACCCTCCAGGAAGTCCGGCTATTTGGGACAGGCACTGACACGTCCTTTTCCAGGCCAACCGAGGGTGGTCGTAGCCTACGGTTTTACGCCACTTGGCTTTCAGTGCATTGTCAGCATTTCTCCTCTGGCACGTTCTCACAGCAGCCCTGTGGGTTACCACTTCGGCACGGCCCTCACCGGCCGCCACACCTCGCCCACAGCCGGCACTCACGGTCCGCACGGTAGTCTGTGCTGTGCATTCACGATGGATCCGTTTTGCTCTTCTGTGATGAGGAAAGATTTAAAGCACTGAAAGCTTGCTTGTTTTACTTTACAGGCAGCTTTACTTGTCATGTCAATCAGAATAGGTAACATATGCATATGTGTTTTCATTACGTTATTTTTAAATGTTCACAATTTTATTTTGATAAATGAAAAATTAGAAAAGTCAAGTTTTGTTATTAACACTAAAGTCGATGCTCGGCTGTGTGCGTTCACCTGTGGCTGTCGACTGTAGTCGATGCTACCAAAGTGGTTAAATTCAATTGGCCAAAGCTGCTTCAGGAGTCAATTTTATTTTTTTGTTTTGAGACAGGAGGTGCTCACTTTGTTGCCCAGGCTAGAGTGAATGCCGTGGCATCAGCCTAGGCTCACGCAGCAACCTCAAACTCCTGGGCTCAAGCAATCCTCCGTGCCTCAGCCTCCCGAGTAGCTGGCGACTCGCAGGCATGCACCACCATGCCCGGCTAATTTTCTCTATAGTATGTTATTGTAGTGCCAATTTAATTCTCTTTCTATTTAAGTAGAGACGGGGTCTCACTCTTTCTCAGGCTGGTTTTGAACTCCTATCCTCGAGCAATCCGCCTGCCTCGGCCTCCCAGAGTGCCAGGATTACAGGCGTGAGCCACCGCGCCCGGCCAGGAATCAATTTTATCAACGGGCCCCTTGCACTTTGCGGAAAGCCTTCCCATCTCCTGCTGCCCCCGTCCTGGGGACAGTGTGGGTGGCGGGTGCCCGTCAGAGGACAGGATGGAGGCTCAGAGCATCTGTGTCTGCCCCAGCTTCCCAGCTCGGAGCTGGGGTTGTCGGGGCTGAAACTCGGATGCTCTGACTTGGGAGAGGGAAATACGTGGCCTCTGGTGGCTCTAGGTGCCCTGGAGCCGGGAGAGGGCAGGAAAAACGCCTCCCTGGAGATGAACCCACCTCATCTCCACAGCAAAATCGGGATTCCCGAGCCCGTCCCGAAGGGCCCGGCAAGCGCCCACCCGGCCCCTCCGAGCCCTCAGCCCGGTCGGGTGGCTCACGCCGCTTCCTCTCTCCTTCCCGCAGAAGCAGTTCTGGATTTCCTACAAGGGTGAGTCGCTGAGCCCGCTTCGGTCCTGCCGGCCAGGCCCCTCCTCAGCTCACTAACGCCGGCCCGCTCTGCAGACGGGGACCAGTGCGCCTCAAACCCATGCCAGAACGGGGGCTCCTGCGAGGACCAGCTCCAGTCCTACGTCTGCTTCTGCCTCCCCGACTTCGAGGGCCGGAACTGCGAGACGAGTGAGGCTCCGCTCCCCGTCCCCTAGCTTGCAGAGGCCCCGGGCGGCGTGGCCGGTAGGACCCCAGAATTCTAATTCTCAGACTTGGTGGCCCCCTGGGCTCCAGCCCTGGGAAGCTCTGACCGGCCTGGAGGGGGCCCGGGCAAGCCTGTGTGTCACTGCCAGGTGAGGCTTCTCTACCTGCCATTAGAAAGGTAGGGGAGATTTTTTCACCTTCCAAATAATCCAGTTCAACGTGGGGGGCCGCCAGCCTCCCCAGGCTCCGGATTCACCGGAAGGACTCACAGGACTCACCGAAGCGGTGCTGTCACAGTTAGCTACAGCAGAGACGCAGCTAACAGCTGCACAGGGGCCAGGCACAAGGTGCCGGGTGTCCCCAGCCCAGTGGAGTCACGCGGACAGTCCCCAGTCGTCCCAGGACAACATGTGAGGAGACGTACAAAGTGCCGCCCACCTGGAAAGCTCCCCTGTCAGCTAGACCCCGCGGCAGGGCCCAAGGCCCAGCTGAGCCGACAGGCCCCTCAGGCAGGACCTCCCCAGGGCTTGGAGGTCACCTCCCAGGGGCGGAGGGCAAAGGCCACTCTCTTTTTGGGGGAGGTTAACCCTTTCCTGTCCAGGTGCACGTCCTCACACAGAATTAGATGTTCTGGGCCACGGCCACCGTCTTCTCTAAGCATAAGAGGACCCAGAAAGAGTAGAGGGAAACTGAGGCAAGAGACTCCCTGCTGCTCAGCCTTTGATGCAGCACAGCCCTGGCCGATGCACGTCCCAGGACGAGCCCCCCGCGGGGCCCTGTGCTCACTCCTGCAGGGCCAGCTCCCACCCCGTCAAGCCAGGTCAGATGAAGTCCTCATCTCCTCCCGAGCGGGGGGGGGGGGGGCGGGGGGGGGGGGGGCTTGGGGACCAGTGTCGTCTCTGCGGCCCTCACAGGCCAGCGTCCCCAACCCAGCAGGACACTTTCACTGTCACCAAGGGGCGTCCACGGCTTCCCAGGGCTGACCTCAGCCTCCTGGCAGCTGCTTGCAGGAGGGAGCGTCTTGGGGGCCCCCACCTGCCAACCTGGCGTCCCCCAGACGCCGTCTCGGCGGCCCTGCCCCACCAGCCAGGCTGCTCCCCCAGCTCGGGCCCCGGCCTCCAGGCTCCGCAGAGCAGGTGGTGCCCAGTCCCGCAGCCCACAGCTGAGCGCCCCCCCAGGACAGCCCCTCTCAGGCCGTCCCGTCCCAGGTGGTGCCCAGCCCCTCTCAGGCTGTCTCTGTCCCCACCCTCTCAGGCCGTCCCGTCCCAAGTGGTGCCCAGTCCCGCAGCCCACAGTTGAGCGCCGACGCCCCCCTCCCCCGCCGAGGACGGCCCCTCTCAGGCGCTCCATTCTGTCCCCAGCACAGAGGAAAACTGATCTCGCAACGAGAACGGTGGCTGCCAGCAGTACTGCCGCGACCACGCGGGGGCCACGCGCTCCTGCTGGTGCCACGAGGGGTACTCGCTGCAAGCGGATGGCGTGTCCTGCGCACCCACAGGTGACGGGCACCGGGGGGCTGAGTGCTGTCACGTGCCGGACGTTTTGTCCGACTGCAGATGATCCCCCTGGCTGACAGGTGGGGGGTGCCTGGATCCACTGAACACCTGCCACTGTCGGGGTGGGGGTAGGGGCGGAGAGGCGGCCTCCACCCGGGAGCAGCCCAGAGCCACCATGACGGGGATGGGCACCGTGGGGTGGCTTCCTGGGTGGCCCTGGACCCCCTGCCTGTTCCAGACGGGCCCGGGGAGCTCTCACCTTCGTCCCACGTGTGGGGCACCTACCGGGGCTCATGAACTCACTTTGACACCCCCAGAGTCTGTGCCAGCTGCTGCACAATTCTAGATTCTGGAAGTTTTGAAGGCATGCCCTCTCAGGAAAACGGAACTTTCCTCCAAACCAGCCTCAGGCTAGTGGGGCTGCGATTCCAAAGGCTGGGACACCCCAACCGCACTGTGTCTCTTCAGGGGTAGATGGGCCTGGCCACGCCCAAAAAGCCTGAAGTCCAGCCTGCCACCTGTACAGGGGTTCTTTTCTAGCCCAGGGACTCGAAAGACCAAAGTCAGCGTGGGATCAAAACAACACACTGGTTTTCAGTGTGGGTTCCTCTGTAGACAGAGGGACATCTGTAGCATCACTCACCTTCCTCTGTAGACAGAGCATCACTCACCTTCCAGGAAATTCAAGCAAAACACCTTCTCCACCTGGAGAAGTTAGCAGAGCTCGGTACCCAGGTGCAACCACACCTGCTCCCCACCCAGCCGGCCCCTGCACAGTCTCCTCCACTGGCAGCTCCCACTTGGCCTCCCCCAGCCCGCCCTGCCCACCACAGCGCCTGGCCCCACGGCCCCCAGCTCTTAGGGTGCAGGTGGTTCTGAGCCTCCACCCACTGGCACCTTCGTCCCTCGCAAACCTTCCGTCTTGCTGACTTTTGTGCAGTTGAATACCCGTGTGGAAAAATACCTATTCTGGAAAGAAGAAACACCAGCATGCCCGAAGGCCGAATTGTGGGGGGCAAGGTGTGCCCCAAAGGGGAGTGTCCGTGGCAGGTAAGGCTTCCCTGGCCCAAGGGTTTTCCAGCCCCGGCTTCCCCTCTCTGAGCAGTGAGGAGCCTCATGCAAGGGAACTAATGACAGGGCTCAGAGTGGAAGCCGCAGGCTGGCCCCCGTTGCCCCCGTCAGTCCACCCCTCGCTCCCAGCTCCGCGACCCCCTTGCTTCTGGCGGGGGAAAGGAAGAGGAAGAGACAGCGATGTTTGTTGAGCATCTGCTCAGTGCAAAGAGCCATGCTGGTGCTCAACAGAGTCAATTCATGTCATCCTGTTTGGGGTAACTCTTTGGGGCAGGGTCTTTGCTGATCTTTGCAAAATCAGGTGCACTGGGTCAAGGTCACCTGTCTACCTGGGAGGTGCACGGTGGAACCTGACACTGACAGGCCCACTGTCAGGACGGTGCCCAGAGAACAGCTCCGCCAGGCCTGGGGAGTGGCACCCCCGAGCCAGGGTGCACAGCTGTGCCCAGGAGGGACCTGGATTCCAGAGGCAGCGGTGCCATGCCAGCAGCCCCTCAGTGCTCCTGTGCCCCTGCCCAGGCCCTGCTGGCAGTGAATGGCGTTCTGCTGTGCGGGGGCACCCTGGTGGACCCCAGCTGGGTGGTGTCCGCAGCCCACTGCTTTGACAGAGTCAAGAGCGGGAAGAACTTGACGGTGGTGTTGGGTAGGTGCCGTCCTGTCTCAGGACCTGAGAGCGCGCCCAGCGGGAATGTCCCAGGAGTGGGGGCACGGGCTGGCCACTGCCAAGGTCCGCGACCAGGGACGCCTCCCGAAAGGGGAGTGGGCAGACCCGTTGCAGCCCCAGCCCTCACAGCCTCTTTCCCACTCCCTGATAAAGGTGAAAAGACCCGGGGCACACACCCTGCCTCACCACTCACGGGGCAAGACAAGGACCCCAGGAGGCTCAGGCCCGGGCTGGGAGGAACCGTGGAGAATTGGGGGCACCCTCTCCCCTCGTGCCCAGGGTGCCACCCCTTCCTCCTGGCCCCCAACACCCAGTTCCAGATTCAGCTGGTTCCCAGCGGCTCAGGGAGCCGCAGGCTGCGGGCGGGCCTGTTGGGAGCCCCGGGCGAGCACGCGGCTGAGCGGCCTCCCACCCCACCCAGGCGAGCACGACCTCAGCCAGGAGGACGGCGACGAGCAGCCCCGGCGCGTGGCGCAGATCATCCTGCCGGCCGCCTACAGCCCCAGCTCCCAGAACCACGACGTGGCCCTGCTGCGCCTGCGCACGCCGGCCCGCCTGGGCGCGCACGTGGCGCCGCTGTGCCTGCCCGAGCCCGCCTTCGCGGCGGGCGCGCTGGCCGCCGTGCGCTTCTCCACCGTGAGCGGCTGGGGCCGGCTGCTGGAGCGCGGCGCCACGGCGCGCGAGCTCATGGCCGTGGACGTGCCGCGGCTCATGACGCAGGACTGCGAGCGGCAGTCGCGGCAAGGGCCGGGCTCGCGGCGGGTCACCGAGAACATGTTCTGCGCCGGCTACGCGGACGGCAGCAAGGACGCCTGCAAAGGCGACAGCGGGGGCCCGCATGCCACGTGCTACCGCGGCACCTGGTACCTGACGGGCGTGGTCAGCTGGGGTGAGGGCTGCGCGGCCGCCGGCCACTTCGGGGTGTACACCCGGGTGTCGCGCTACGCCGACTGGCTGCGCCGGCTCATGCGCTCGGAGCCAAGCCCGGGCTTCCTGCTGCGCGTCCCGTTCCCCTAGTGCGCCCTGAGATGCGCCGGCCCCAGGTGGCTGTGGGGGTAGGGGAGGGGACACAGACAGAGAGGGAGAGACAGCTGCGAGGCCTGGCGCACTGTTTGTAAATAAAGTCTATGGAGCACACCTGTTTGTTTGCTTACTGTCCCTCCCTCCTCCCTCCCTCCTCCCCCTGCCTCCTGCCCCACCTCAGCCCCGCCCCCCTGGACTTGGAAGAGCTCAGAAATCACCTTTCCTGGGTTAAGCCTTGCACATTCCAGGCCGCGCTAGTCCCCACTAACCAGCCTGCCTGCACGGAGCCGGGCGCACGGCCAGGGGACATGGAGCCCCACGCGGGCATCCGGGTCCAGGGGTGAGCATGGGGGCTGGGAGACATCGCCCACCAGCCCCTGAGCCCCTCTCAGCCTCGGCCAATCCGCCCTGTTCTCAGCAGGCCAGGAGGGGGCTTCTGGCAGAGCCCCTCCATCCAGGCAGTGGGGAGGTTGCTCCTCCCAGAAATATGTGTGGGCGCCAGGTGAGCACAGAAAGGTCGCCAGAACCTCTGCCTCCCGAGCCCCTGGGTCTGCAGGTGGGCGGGGCAGGTGCAAGGCCTGCATGCTGGGGTCCCCCAGTGACCCGAGACTACCGTGTCCTGGCACCCCTGATGGCACCCGGAGAGCAGTGTGAGTGGAGGGACAGGTCTGTACCCAGGAAGAGCGAATCACAAACCCCACACCCCCCACTGCGGCCCTGGGCTCAGGCTTCACTGCTCACGGAACCTGTTTTCTGTCCTGGAAGCGTGATGGGAAATGACACCTCTGTCGTGTGGTAAGGACTCAGAGTTAGATGTAAACATCTGAAAACTACAAAATGAACATAAAATGGTGTTTTTGTTCTCTCTTAGGACAAAAGTTCCCATCCGGCAGCAGGCCCCGCCGTCACCCAGCCCTGCCTGGGGAAGGTGGGGCCGGGTGACCACACGCCCCTGGTCACAGTGGTCACCGCCCCTCCTGGCCAGCAGGCCCGGCCCCAGTCCGGAGGCTGGGTAAGCAGCAGGACAGCAAGCCACCCTGAGCCCAGGGGAGTGGACTTTGCCCGGGAGCCTGTCACGGTGGGACAGGGACGCTGACTCGGCCACGCCATGGCGCGCCCGCTGTGCCTGGTCCTGCTCGGCGCCTCCCTGGCTGCCCTCCTGCGGCCTGGGGACAGCGGTGAGTGGAGGTGGCCCGGGAGCAGGGACGGGCGGGCAGCGGAGGGGAGGCACGGGGGTGCCCCGGCCCTGCCAAGTCTGGCCTCGGGTGGCTGGGCTTGCACTTCCCATCCAAGGGTGTAGCGAGGCCAGCTGTGGCTTTGTGGGGGTGACAGTCATCCGATGAGTAGATCAGAGGTCACAAAGAGACAAAAACGCAGGGACAGGGACAGAGAGGGAGAAGGAGAGGGAGTGAGAACAGAGAGTGACAGAGAGAGGGAGACAGAGAGAGGGCGATAAGGAGAGACAGAGAGGGAGACAGAGATTAGGAGAGACAGACAGAGAGGGAGACAGAGATAAGGAGAGACAGACAGAGAGGGAGACAGAGATAAGGAGAGACAGACAGAGAGGGAGACAGAGATAAGGAGAGACAGACAGAGAGGGAGACAGAGGAGGGGTGTGGAGGTGCCAGGCAGTAGGGAGAGGTCCCCCCTCGACTGCCAGAGCCGGGCACAGCAGAGGCACATCCAGCCAGGCAGGGGCTGGGAGAGGCCACCACCCTCAGCTGGCCCCATCTGGAGGGGCTGCAGACAGGTGGGGCGCCAGGCCACCCAGGCCCCTGGGCCTGTCCAAAAGAGGAGGCACAGAGCGAGGAGAAGCCAGGCAAGGCTGGGAGACGGCAGAGGAGGGGCAGGCGCCTTGGCAGGTGCACAGGAGTCAGGGACCCAGGGCTGGTTTGTGTCCTGCAGAAAGTGGAGCACAGGGGACCCTGGTGTGCGAGAAGGGAGAGCAGTGAGGGAGAGACAGCTAGAGAGACCCTCGTGGGCAGAGGAGGAAGAGACCCAAGTAGGAGAGGGAAGAAGAGAGACCTCGGGGTGGGGCAGGAGGAAAGACCCTCATAGGGAGGGGGAGACCCAAGTAGGTCAGGGGAGGGGGAGACCCGAGAGAGGCCGACTCGACCCTCAGAACCCACACTGACCTGAGGGCCCCTCTGCTAGTCGACACCTTCTGCCTCCCGGGGTCCCCTCCTTCGTGAACCCCACAGGAAGCTCTAGCTCCAGTCAAACCCACATAAGCCATCTTCTCAGGCCCCTCACCCTTAGCCTCTTCCCCTTCCAGCCCCCGTCCCACCCCTGCCACACACAGGGGCCACGCAGTGGGATTCTCCCCGCTGCCCAGCAGCACCTGCCGTCCAGGCCAGGCTCCTGCCCCGACCATGCCCCACCAGGCCACGCCTTCCCTGACAGGCCACGCCTTCCCGACAGGCCACGCCCCCGTCCCAGGCCAGTGGAAAAAAGTACAGAGAGGACAGATGGCAAAGAAAGAACTTGAGGGCCTCCCATGTCACAGTAAGAAGAGGAAGAGGAGTGGGCGAGTGAGGGGCAGAGGCAGAGGGATGCCACAGACACACACACCTTACGAGGGACACAGATTCCCGATCCAGAGCTTTTTAAACAGGAGATTATGACTCATTTGTGAGTGTTGTTTTTTTTTAAATAGAGTAGAATCATATAGAAAATTTTATAGTAAGAACTATTTTTCACAAAATAATAGTAAGTACTATTTCTTGAAACTCGTTTTGATTTTGTGTGTGTGTGTCCCAGGACTTGTTATAATTTGCATTTTTCATGGCTCATCATCAAAACAGCTCCACGACTCGCCACTAAACCAAGAGCGGAGGCCTTGAAGGGTGGGTGGGGCAGGGTGGGGGGCACATGGGGGGCGGGGCACAGATGGAGGGCTGGGAGGTCAGCAGTGACCATGGAGCAGTCAGACAGAAGGGCTCAGGGCAGAGGGCTGGGGCGGCCAGCTGGAGCTAGGGTGGGTGCAGGGGCTGCTATGTGTCCCCTCAACCAGAGCAGGTGCCTGAGGCTGCACCTGGCAAGGAGTTGGAGGGATTTGGGCACACACACACACACACACACACACACACACACACACACAGCTCCCTCAGGGCCTGAGGAGTGTTTGCCCCCTGTGATGGGCCCCAGCAGGATACTGCAGTTGGGCAGAGCAGGTAACAGCCTGAGGGGCTTTCAGCATTCTGTCTGTCCCTGTCTTCCAGTGTTTATTGACCGGGAACGTGCCAGCAATGTCCTGGCGAGGGTCAGGAGGGCAAATTCGTTTCTAGAAGAGGTGAAGAAAGGGAACCTTGAAAGAGAGTGTTGGGAAGAGACATGTTCATACGAAGAGGCGAGAGAGGTCTTCGAGGACACCGACAAGACGGTAAGGGCTGGGAGACGGGGTGCCAGGCCCACACGGGGATGGAGACGGGCTTGCTCAAGGGCCCTGGCTGTCCCCGCCAGCCCCGGGCACCCAGCCATCCCCCCGGGGTGTCCGCAAGGAGGGGAGCAGGCTGCGGGGCCGTCCGGCAAGGAGAGTGGGCGGAAGGGCTTGAGGAGTCAGAATGGCCTCGTTACTCGCCTCCGAGAGGCTTTTTCCAAGTTCTTGGTGATCATGGGGTAAAGAATTTCAGCATGCACCATGTAAGCCAAGCAGGCGACACCATTTATCAACAGCAAAAGTGCACTCTCAGGAGACAGAGCTGGGAAGAGCAGAGGAGAGGAATTGCGTTCAGATCTTTTGTAGTTTTACTAATTGAGGGGAGGAATATTCAAGACCAAAAAGGGTTGACTTTTACTAAGAATCTGGGTAGTAATTTCTAGAATTGGCCTCCCTCCCATTTTCATATGTTATTTGGTTGTCTGGGAATGGTCATGCTCACTGTAAGGGTGGGACATCTTAAACCACAATGTGAAAGATAACATCATTAGTCCAAGTTCAGGTAAGGTGCAGAGAGGGCTGACAGTCCCATCGAAGCCGGTTCTTGCCTGTGGTGTGAGCACCCCGGTTACCTCTGCCTGGGGGGGAGGTGACTTTAACACCTGCACCCATCCGCAAGCCCGCGTGCCGTGCCTGCCCCGACAGCGCCGCCCTCCTGCCTGCGCGCACGCACTGTGGCCTCCCCACTCCCCAAACCTCACTCCAGCACTCCCCACTTCACACTCCCCATCACTCACCTCTCACCCCGCACTCCCATCTCTCGCCCTCATTCCCGCCTCCCCACGCCCTGCTGCTCTCTCGGACCTCAGCAAGGGCCCTGGGGCCCAGACACGGGAGGGGAAGGGTGCTCCCAAATCAGGCGGAGGTCAGTAGAACTCCACGTGTCAAGTCTACTTAAAGTGCGAAACAAAACGCTGTGCCAAGAAACAGAAGTACACACAGCAGGGGCTGGCGCCTCCCAGGGAGCGGCCGGCTGGGTCCCCCACCTGGGCTGCACAGGTGCACGCTGGACGCCTCGGCCCCGCCGCGACGCCAGGGGGCGCAATGGAGCGGACGGTGAATCCAGGACTGCGCCTGCGCAGCCCGAAAGCCCGGGGGCTCCCCCGGAAGAGGCGGGGCTTCCTCCCGGCCGGGGCGGGGCCGGCTCTGAGGAGACGGTGTGTGGCCTTTGGGCCCGGCCGGACGTCGAGGTCGTGGAGGGAGACCGCAGGCGCCGCCGCCTCGTGGGCGTCTCGCCGCTCGCCTCCCGGGACCACCTGCAGACGGCACCTTGCGGGTCCCACCAGGAGAGCTCTGGGAAGCCGCCCTCGTGACCTGAGGACCAGGGTCAGGCTGCAGGTCGTGGCCAAGTCAAGCCGCCATAAACCGGAAGAATTCATTCATGTCGAATAAGCACTTCAGGGCGACGGAACCGAAGTTCAGGAAAAGTGGGAACGCCAGGAAGGGCGGGCGGAACAGCATTCCCAGGGAATCCCGGGCTGTCTCCCGGCTCATCCTCACCGTTCCCCAGAGACAGGGAAACGCGGTGTCGTTGGACATGCTCGGACTTGACCCTGAGTGACTTTCTGAGGAAGAAATTTGTCATCTGCTCTAAGATCGTTACATAAGTTTTTTGGATGAGTTGGGACTTTTAGACATTAAAACTCCCAGGATGATCTGGGTGCAGCGGCTCATG